AGATCTTCATACATTTATTTTTAGGGTTAAGTTGAGACCTATAAATAACATTTCAACTCATTTGATTTGCTCATGCATTTGATTGAATAAGAATTACTATTATTTTGTGTTTCTCTCGTCTCTCTATATTATCCCTGCTTTCTTTTTCTTTTTTTTATATTCTCTTCTCTCATCCCCTTTCAAGTTCTACATCAAGATCATAGCTCCCAGGTTTTTTTTTAATATTATATAAGTACTACTCTCTTCTTTCATCTTAATTCTCAATTGTATATTTCTTCATCCTGTTGAATGGTCCAAGTTAGAGTTAATTAGTGTTCGTGTGTATTTCATCGATAATTAAATATGCTCCATTAGAATATTTGTTGCAGACTTAATCCATCAAAATCGTTAAACTGAATTGGATTTGCAAGAAGTAGAAGTATGTGGCCGCGAATCCAACAAAAGAAAGGCATATTATTTTAAATGCATGATTGCTTGCTCGAGTGGAATTTTCAAATTCGTGCCTGGATCAGTGTTTTAAAACTCAGATCGGACATCAAACTGAAAAAAGGAACGGGTTGCAGTTTTTATAGTTCAATCTGTTAGACTGACGATTGAACCAATGACATAAAAATTAAATAAAAATAATATTTCTATACACAAATATATAAATAAACATTAATTTGTTGATTGTGCTTGAAATCTCAACACCGAAGGTTAGATTCCTGGACTGTTAGAGCTAGAGGTAGAGGTTTGAGGAGAAGTAAGAGATTGAGTACAGGTCATGGAGGAAAAATTAGAGATTAGAGAAGAGAAGACAGAAAAAAAGTAGATATTATAGAAGAAAAATCGTGAGCGACTCAGCTTAATTTTTTTTTTTTTGCTTTGAACCTGGTTGACCCACTCCTAAGTTCCAGGTTAAATTCGGTTCTATAAAAACCGCTCAGTTCAATCCGGCCCAAAGGCAAATTTGGTTCAATTGATTGAATCAAACTGTTTTACTTAGCGGGCAACAATCGAACTGTTCGATCCAGTCCGATTCTCACAACATTGGCCAAGATACAATAGTCGCTGAGTTTGAATTTCATCGGGGGACACTTTAATTTTATAATATTGTTCCATTATTGATGTTGTTTTATTAACTAATATATATTATCACGTATAGATTTCATTTCATTTTTTTATTTTCATCATTATTGTTTGTGCCAGTTTTTGTTTCTTATTTGCTGTTGTTGTTATGAAACATCCATGATAATTCCTATATGAGTTTTGTGTTGGGCTGCATATAGGGGTGAGCATCGGTCGGTTCGGTTCAGTTTGGTCTCAAAATATGCAGAACCAATCGATCGAATAACATTGAAAATGAAAACCGAATCGAATCGAACAAGGACCGAACTGAAATTTGATAATTTGGTTCACTTGGTTAATTCAATTTTTTGGTTTCATATTAGGCTATTAAAATTAGGCCTATTTTTTAAATATTAAAACAAACAACATTATAAAATTGAGCCTTTTTTTCTATTCATTTTTTTCAATATGAGCCCATTCTAATTACACCCATATGACATAAAGCCCAAATATTATAAAGGCATGGATAATCAAATAAACAACCCAAATAAACACTGATTATCAAATAATGGCTCCATAATCCAGTCACAACACTTACTGATGAGAGTGACTGACCGAAATAGGGTTTCAAGTGATGTTATTATTTTTTATTCTTTATTACAATAAAAAATAAAAATAAAATAAAATAATTTATAAATTAAATATAATTGATAAATTAATAAATTATATGTAATTCGATTGGTTCGGTCTATTCGATTTTAAATTTTACTAACAGAATGGAACCGATCAACCAAAATATTTAAAATAAAAAAATCGAATCGAACCGAAAAATCAAATAGAGCAAATTAAAAAAATAAAATTCAATTTGATTCGGTTTGATTTTCGATTTCAGTTCGATTTTGCTCACCCCTAGCTACATGTCATGTTTCCCCCTTTTTCCCCATGCGTGTTTCAATGTTATGTGTGTCCCCGCGCGCTATTAATTCTAGCAATCTAGATTAATTGGGTTATGTATATTCGTTTTATCTTTAAAACCAATATTATATAGGTACCAAACTGCAACCTAACATCTAACAAATAAGGGTAAAAATAAAACCAGAAGATACAAAAGCAAAGGAAACAAGTAAAGAGCATATAGAAGTAATGAATTTTGGAGGGCCTATAAATAGAATATATATTAAAAGTGTTCATGTGATAACCGGGTAATGTAATTCGACTACTACTGAACGACGTGGAGCCAAGTCGGATCGAGGCAAGAAGAAGGGAAAATAAAAGTTAGACTGGACTGTGGGCTCCAAATTTGTATATATTGAAATGGACTTGAGACCAAATTATAACTGGACAAAACGCATCCCATGGACATCCCTAATTGATACTCCTTTGCATCGTTGATGAGTGAAAATTTTCTTTTTTTATCAGATTTATCACAGTATTTCAAAATTACTCTTAGTTAATACGGTTGCGGACTCCCCAATTAAGGAAAGAATTTTGGTTTCTTCTCTATGTGATTTGACTCCCTTTTTCTCGAGGGATCTCGTGTTTAAAGAATGTATGGGGATTCAGCCTCTTTGTACTGCTGATGTTTAATCTTATGTAATTTGGGCTTTGCCCTCGTTTATATAAAAAATAATGTTATTAAATGGTGCGTGGGACTTTCTCATTTTGCACTCGAGTAAAAAAAAAAAATCATACTTTTAACAGAGGATATATCCCAAAGCTCCATAAACGCTTCAAATATTCGGTAATGTGGCTTACAGTGAAGACTATGAAAAAACTCAAGTTCACTTATAATCAGGACTAAAAGGAGTAAAATTTATGATAAATCACACAAATTATGAACAGTGGACATTCTCGCTTATTGGCCATTCCCCATATAATGCACGTAGCAAAGCTCATTTATCAAAAGATGAAGCGGAACAGTTGTGTTGAGATGACTAAGGAGTAAGGAGTGTGCCCCCGGCCTCATGTCGTGCATGCACCAATATTTTTTGTTTTAGATCCCTAATCATAAAACAAATACATTTTTTTATATGTATCTTTTTATTAAAAATAATCCTATTTAATGCACTGCTACACATTAAATATGAGCACTTCTTTCACCGGTGATTCAATCCCCACTGATTTTTAAGACAAATAGATGAAATATAAATATAAAAATGGAGTTTTGTAACAATGACTGATGTTATATGATACTATTTTTTACACGATGATATTATATAGTGATGGACCTAGAAAAATTCATTAGAGGGGCAATATTTATACAAAATATAAATATTAATATTTTTAAGAAAATATAATTCTAAATATTAAATAAAAATAATATATAAATAAATTATATGAGAAGTTTAAAAATATATATTAATTTCATTTGTATCATAAATTTATTTTTATAATAAATATAAGAGTAAATAATATTTTTAACTATGCATGCTTAATAATTTTAAAGAAAATGTGAGGCAATTGATTTTTTTTGAGGGCAATTGTAATTTTAAAAGGGAACAAATGTAATTTTAATCAAAAATTAAATGTAATTGTTAATTTTCTTGTGGGGGCAGTTGCTCCCTCTTTGCTTCAAGTGGCTACGTCCTTGATATTATACGGTATTCATGGACTCTTTCAGCTCTGGACAAGCAAACAAATTGATGAAAAATAGTAATCCAAGCTTAGATTAGAGATGTTCTCAAGATTAGATACTCGTAGTCAGGGCAAGGCAGTGTTGTGCCCAGTCGATTTCGGTGCTCATTTTAGTGGTGCTCAGTATCAATTAACACTGCATTTTGCAGGGTCAATTTTTTTCTTTTTTTTTAAATCACAAATTATTATAATAATAATAAATAAATATTATACATTATTTTTTAATATTTAATAAATAAATAAATTTAACTTGTTAAAATTTGATTTGAATAGTTCATATAAAAATTTTAGTCTAAACAATTCAGAACTGTACTAAAAAAGTAAAAAAAAAATCACTTGAAAAGTTTAAAATAAAAGTTGAATTTAGCAAAATAAGCTAGTTTTCTTATTATATAATAAAATAATATTTAAATTACTGTTAAAAAGAAATGCCTATATTTAATACTTTATCATGCCTTGAATGATATTACTTCTCATGAATGGACAATTATGCAAAATCAATAAAATAAAAATATTTTATAAAATATATTAGTTACAGTTCTAATTTTTTAACTACAATTTCTCAACTGTTTAGACTAAAATTTATATATTAACTGTTCAGGCTAAATTTTAACAATTTAAATTTATTTATTTATTAAATAATAAAATAATAATTTTATAATATTTATGTATTATTATTGTAATAATTTTGTCATTTAAAAAAGAAAAAAAATTAACACTAATGTTGAGAAAGATGAGCACCGAATCCGGATCCTTGCTGTACTGCTCGGCTTCCTTGAGACCATTTCTTAGCCCAACGCATATAAGCCTAATAACCTCTATTTTTATGTTTTAGTTTACTTAGGTTTCAATTTCTGGGTTCCCCCTTCAAATTCCCAGCCAAACTAATCCGCCGTCTCTAGTTACAGTGTTGGTGAAGATGACAATTATTTTTATCCTTAAACATCATAACAAGTAGTTCAAAATCAGATTTTACCCTCATGGTCCTCTGTAAAACTAGACCTATATCAGTCAAGGGTTTCAAGAGCCAAGTTTCATTTTAACAAATGATTGTCACAGCTTCATACATTTCTTCATTCACTTGATTAATAATTCGTGAATGATTGGCAGTTGAAGGGTCAAATCACAGAAGTAGAGTTGGAGTTCTAGGAGATAAAGAGCCAAAAGCTGGGCTTTGATTTAATGATTTGTGAAGCTGCATGTGTAGTTTAATCCCTGTATTTCAACCTTTTGTAGTTCGATGATGACAATGATGATAATCATAATTTTGCGCTCAGATCAGAAAAAGAAGCCGAAACACTTCAATGACACAGTCAAAATGAATGTTGAGCATTCCATTTATATTTATGGGAAACACTTTATGCAGAGACTTCATTTTGTTGAACCTATTATATGGTGAAGGAAAGTGAACCCAACCCCTTCAGGCTAAAATCCCTGTTTCAGAGCAGAATGTTCGGCAATACGTTTTAGTTGCTTTGAGGCAATCCAGATCCAGAATGCAGTAATCAAGTCGACTTTATTCTGCAGAAAGATTATATTGAAACTTGTACCTCCCTAATTCGTTGAATCCAAAGCTTGGAAGAAACAAACCAAGAGGAAAAAAATTGCTTCTTTTACACAACTTGCAAATTGTCACAGCTACTTCTCCCTAAAGGCATCTCCCACCATAACCTGCATTTCTGAACAGTGCTTCCTTAATCTCTTCAGAGTCAATACAAGCTCTTTGCTCAGCCACCTTACACCATGAGAAGACCACGTTGTGAGTACAAAATTCATCCTGTTTCAACATTGTGTAAAAAGAGTAAGTATGAACAAACCTCCGAGCAAGATGCTTGCATTGTGAAATCATTGAAGCCACTTATGACGCATTGTTCGATCTCAAGACCCAATGCTTCTAAGGTATTCACAGTTGAGAGTAGTAACCCAGGCTTTGTGGCACAGCAGATATTGATCCTAGTGTCTTGGTCCTTCCTCTCAACCTCAAACTGCGAAAATATTAAGGTGGTAATATATGTAAATTCAGGAACTGGGTACATTATAATCCGTTAATCTTTGGGGTATATACCTTAGGGGAATTTCTCACCGTTACTTCATTTGGCTTCACTTCCTTGGAAATGCCTATGAAGTTTAACTGATTGTTTTCACCCTCCCTCTCCATTTCTTCCTGCAAATTGCTTATCTTTTCCAGAAGCTCCTTCATGTAATCTATGGTGTCTCCAAGAATAGATGTCCTGTCCATCTGTCAATGTTCATGTTCCCATGTCACTCTAAAAGATATGCCCGTGAATCAAAAGATTATGGGTTTAAAAGGACATGTTTTAGGAATCACCTTGCTGATCTTGGGGACGATAGATCTCAGCATGGACAAGCGATCATTGAGGCGCTTTCTTCTTCTTCTTTCTGCCATGAGATTCTTTGAAGGCTGCCCTTGTAGCTTCTTCGATTTGGGTTTCTTCTCCCCACAATACACACCCATGTTGAACACCGGAGTTTCCAGGGCTCGTTCTTCGATTTTGCAGCAATTACTGGCATTATTATTGGCGTTTCCTTCTTCAGAACTCTGATTCTCAAAACCCAGAAAGGCGAGGTCTTCATCTTCATGAGCTTGAAGTGGTGGTGCAGAGTCAACAGTATTCCCTGTAAAGCCATCAAGAATGGGTAGGAATATTCAAGTCTCTGGTCTATGAGAGGTGCCGGTAGAGCAGAAAATGGCGGATTGAAGGTAGAGAAGGCAGAAGGGTTGTCATCAAAAGGGTCAAAGGTCCAAGAGGTACAAGAGAATAGATCATTGAAGCCAGAGGACATTGTGTTCCATGAATCTCCTCTTCTTGGAGCAAGTAACTCTTCCAGAAAGCCAACTTGTGAAAGGTCCATTTCTCTCCGCTTTTTCTGTGCTTCTTCCTCTACCAGGTGATACAAAAAGCAGAGGCGGCTTTAATAGGAGAGGGACATCACAGTTTTTTTTTTTTTTTAAGTTTTATCTGCTTCATCATTAAATGTTTATGTGACCATTATCACAATGAAGAACTTTATCGAACTAAATAACGCATAACTTTTTTTTTTAGAAAAAAAGTACTGTTTATGTAATGGAATATCATGATCACATAAGTCAATATGTTGTGTTTCCTTAATTATGTTACAGAATAAATTATTATTAATTAAAACTACTTGACAAGTATTTGACTAAAAATATTCAAATATGCTCTTTTTTTTTCCTGTATAAAAGTCTAGTTAAAATAGAATGCTATTGCTAGGTGTAGCACAGCCATGTGAGGTGATGACAAAATAAGATTAGCATAAATCTAATCTCAACAAAAAAAAAAAGATTAGTATCAATCTTGGAAGTTTTAGAGACTAGGACTGGGAAGTATTGTTTAAAAGTGAAGAACACTATAATTTTTATTATAATTTTAGGCTTCATGCAAGATACTATCGCATTCACATCTAGTTTTTTTTTTAAAAAATAAAACCAACGACTCGTAATAAATAACTTTTAAGAATATTTAAATTAATCAGAAAAGTTGAATCATGGAATGTGAAACTGACAACAGTCACCTGTGGTGAGGAATGTATTTTCAAAGAGCAAAAAATGAAGTTCAACATTTACTCCTGAACAAAATAAAGTGGCAGCAAATGGGGAGAAAAAAGGTTTGTAAATAATGATAGAAGACAATGATAAGGTGCATTATTCTATTGTTGATGTTGATGAAAAAGGCTAAGATGATCACAGGACGTATATATTTACAGTAAAAAGGTAAAGTGGGAATAGAACCTCGAGATCTAGACGTGGGATTAAAATGGGATCTACTTTATGCCTTTGTCTTCTGTCTCATCTTCTCTCGCTCCTAAGTCCGCTTCCCCATTATTAATCCCCTTTTCACCTAAAACTGTACAATAATAAACGTACGTAATATTCCTTCTCCAAGATATAAACACTTTGTAAAATCAGTACATGCATTCCTTTTGTTAAAAAATATAAAAATTAAATATTTAAAAAATATTTTTAATCTTTTAAAATATAATCATTAATTTTTTAAAAAAATTACCCATATTAAATGAATCACTCTATATTTTTTAAGAGTATTTAATAAGAATAAATATGAAAAGATAAAAGATAGAGTTAGTTTGAAGATAAGTAACTACTTTATTGAAAAGTGAGATTTGATTAAAAATGCTTTATGTTTTTGAACGGAAGGAATATGTATGTTGTTCTCATTTCAATAAAAATATATATTATTTTTTATTTTAATTATCAATATATTTTATGATAAGTGAGAGATATAATTATATAAATTAAAAAAATATAATAAATAAAATTGAAAGAAAATATTTACACATGCTAGATTGTTTAAATTTTGAACTAAAATTAATTGGGAGGAATAGTTATATTTTTTGCCATAGGGAGTAGCCCTTCCTCCATTTCCCTTTCTTCATAATTGGATTTATTTGCATGAAATCAGTGTGGATATCATATTCATATACTCTTCCCTTTCTGATTTATTAGTTACACTGTAGAAAATTACCTCAATCTTTAATGAAAGTCATTCTCCTTTTTTTCAAGCACAATTCTAATAAAAATATTGTAATGCAGATTCTAAAAAGAACCGCCAGGTAAAAATGAAAAGTAACTTAATTAAAAGACAATTAAGAATAAGAAATGACGATGGCCACGGCCTTCAAGGCGGCTTGACCCTGAGCGAGCATCACAGCCTGGGAGAGGAACACAGGAGCGTCACATAATTCCCTGGAAGCCAATAAAAGACAGCATTAATGTTGTTTTACACTCCTCTGATTTTATTTATAAGTTATTTTTAACATATTTTATTAATATTAAAAAAATATTAAAATTCATTAACTCTATATTAAAATTTAATAAGTTTTTAACTTTACCCCTATAAAATAAATATATTTTAATAATATATTTTCTCTCTCTAATATTTAATGGAAGGTAAAAAAATTTATGATAAAAATTTAATGACATAATTTATAAATAAAATTAAAAAAATTCTTCTTTTTATATTATAAGTAAGATAAGAGAGAGCATGGCGTAAACTTGGAGTTAGAGGTGATTAATAACTAAATTAATTAGTTGCATGAGATGACATAGAGAGTCTCGAGGCGAAGGTGAAAAGTGAGAAGAGAGTAAAGAGTACAGAGAAAGGGACAAGGAAGAGCATATGCATGCGTGATGAAATGACGACGCAGTTAAATTCGAGGAGCTCCTGTGAGTCACACCCTCTATTGGAATTTGCATTCCCTCATTTTTATATGACTCACTCCCCCCGCTAACTCATGTTGCCATCTGGAATGTTTATTAGACACTTGCAAACCAGGAACAAGGCTAGAGTTAAAAATAAGAATTGAGTTTGGAGGGTTAGATTTGGAGATCTTGTTTGAATAAAAATTTAAATTTTAAAAATAATTTTTTTAAAGTAATCGGGTTTAAGAATTTGGCCCTGATAAGCTCTGTAAAAAAAGGCTCAGACTCGGGCGGCCCTTTAAGCTTTATTATATTATTATTATTATTATTATTTTCTTTGGTAAAACATGTGTTTGAAGCCGATGACCTATTTACCTGATCCTACAACATTTATATTATTATTAATTTTAATTTATTTTAAAATTAATTTAATATAATTTAATAAATATCAGTGTATAGTATAAAATTTATGATATTTTTTATTTTTCTACAATTATTATGTTTGTGTATTTATAAAAAATGAACTGTTTTTTAACCAAGATTTAAATTTTATTACTAGACTTTTAAATGTGTGTTGTTTAATTTTTAAAAAATTACAAGGATTTTAATTTTTTAAATTTTAAAATATTTTATTTTTAATTAATTTATAATATTTAATTTTATTTTAATTTTTTTATTTTTTAAAAAAGAGCTTGCGGGCCAGGTCCTGAGCGTTTTACATGAGGGCCAGGTTTAAAAAATGGGGCTCAAAATAAAAAATCAAGCTTTAGGACTCAACCTGTATTCTCAACTCTAAACAAGGCCAAGGCTTGACCTATCGCTCCTTTAAAGCACTTTTTATTAGGATATGAATTTAAAAAATGACATTTTTTTAAAGAAACTGGATTTCAAAGCCCTAATAAAGAGAGGTTTACGCTCAAGTGATTTTTTAGGCTCATTTTTATTTTACCCCTCAAAAATAAAAATATTTTCAAATTTTTACTTGAATTTAAACTATATAATATATATTTATACTTTAAAATTAGAAGTTTTATTATTTGTTTTAAATTTTGAACACTATAATTTGTTTTAAAAAAAATTATCATTTAATCCTTGTAATTTTAACCCAATTATAATTTAATCCCTAAATTTTAACTCTTTATAACTTAATTATTATAGTTTTAACTCTATCCTTGAACTTTGCCTTTTGTAATTCAGTCACTATAGTTTTTACCATTTAAATATTAATCCTTATATTTTTAAAAAAAATCATAAAGGTTAAAAATATTTTAAAATTTTAATATTTATAAAGATTAAAAGGATTTAGTAATTTAAAATTTTAGTAATAAATTTTAACACAATTTTAATTTTCATAATTTTATTTTTTTAATATATAGGTATCAATATTTAAGTAATTGAAACTATGAGGACTAAATCACAAGAATCAACATTTAAGGACTGAGTTATAATTGAGTGAAAATTTTAAAAATCGAGTTATAATGAGTCAAAATTTAAAAACTGAGTTATAAATGGGTCAAGACTATATAGACCAAATAATTAATTTTTTACTTTAAAGATATAAAATATTTAATTGAAATTTTTAAATTTAAAAATTCAAACAAAACTTAAAAAAATTAAAAATGAGCTTACAAGCTCGGCTTTTAAATAAGCATCAAGCTTCATGAAATGATTGATTTTGAAGTAACCAGTCTCATGTACATGAGCCCATATGGTCTCACCTACCTGTTTCCTACTTCTAACACTAAATTTTTTAAAAAAACATCTTATAATTTGAGATAAAGAGAGTGTTTTTTAACAAATGAACTATTAAATGAATAGTATTTTTAAAAATTTGTATTTTTTTTAAAAAAATAAGATTGTAGAGTGTATTTAATAAAATTTTATTAATATATGAGATTTTGTCTAAAAGTGTTTCATAATTGAAAAGGGGGAGTATTAAATTTGCTTGGTGCCATTTGATTTCTTTCTTTTTTTTTTTAAGTACACTGTAAAATATATCATCAAACTAACAAATTTATTTACAAATCCAACACAGGACATTCTCCTTATGTGAATACAGACATTTACAGGATAAAGGAAGCAATAAAAGAGCTATAATAATATCTAGCCAAACAACTGACAGGACAATAACCCCAGCAACAACGTTATAATAAAACAGGGATTTTATAAACTATGGCAGGCATGCATGAGTACAATCCAAGGACATGCATCACTTGAAACAAACTTCAAAACCATGTTACTGCACCTGCCTTTTGATTTGGACCCGAAAAAAAAATAGAAAAGATAGAAAACTATAAAAAAAAAAAAAAAATAGTGAAAAAATCATAATATTTTTTTAAAAAATCATAATTCTTTCTCCCTCCCTGATTTCTCCTTATTCTTCTCTCAACATTGACCAAGCATTGGAGTGTGTTGGTTTCATGCTGAAAATTGTTTTCATCGTGAATTTTAACGATTTTCAATATAAAACCAAATACACACACAGTGTAAGAGATGATTATTAGTTGCATGAATGATAGATCAAAAAAAAATAAACAGACATCTAGATTTTTATATTTACATACTTAATTTAATATGTTTAAGTTTCTTATATATATACGCCATCAAATCAATACACATGAATTTTTTATACATTATTTATCTTGTAACAAACTCTTACATTAATTTTTTATTTCTTAACTCTCACTATCAGTATAA